CATGTGAGAGGCTGTCAACGCCTCTGTCACAGATTTTTTGTACAAATGGAAAAACTCTACATTTTAACAGTCGAAGTTAACATAAAAAGTTCACTAGATATCCAAGCGTTACAATTTTGTCAAGAAGTAAAGGTAAAACGTCCAATCGCTAAATTATTTCACGTCATTGGACAAGATTCTATATTTTGTTTGTGGAGCCGAGTCTTGTCACTAAAATTTATTGTTCAGAGATCAAACACACTATAGACTTCTGAAAGGCATGTATTTGCCTTTTTGTTTTGTGGGATTTTTCCAGGATGGAGTATGGGGGGTCATGGGTGTGATTGTGCTCTTTTCTTTTGTAACTTTATGTGGTGTGGTGATGATTACTAGCACTAGTAGTAGAGGGAATTAGGCTAAAATTTCAAACCTTGTTCTTATAATTGGCATATCATTGCTTAATATTAAACCAATCCCAACCAGAAGTATAGCCTTGCTTGTCTTCTTTGATATAAGTTCTTCAGTAAAGTATCTCGATTTTGTTGCGTCCGTGAGGATAGTGTTGTTGACCTCAAAAATTTGAGTGAATAATCATTATTAGGTGGGATTTTACTAATTATTCAAGAAAATATAATTGGTAGGACCTTCTGTGTATGAATGTGTCACTTGGACATGAACAGTCTAGATTGATTCGAGCGGCCACCTATGATCGGTTTGTTCTGATTGGCCGTTCATTTTACCTTGACCTATCGAATTTGAGATTATATATAAAAAAAATAATAATAAGAAACACACTTTTGTTACCTATATAAATACGAGAAAATTTGTAAGGTAGAGATTACGACAAATAACTTGGGGAAAAATATTAAGTTGCTCTTGTTTATTTTGGGAGGAAAAAAACCCCTAGATAAGCTAGAGATTAAGACAAATAACTTTGAAAGTACAAAAAATTATTCAAATGAAAGTGAAGCATGTGAAATTAGATTTGTAGCATTCCTATCAGGAATTCTTGGTTTTGATTAAATTCAATTATTTGTACTGTGTTGTCTGATTCATTATTTGTTGCTAATGAACAAATCCATGTGAAGCTAGATCTACAACTTCCTTGTGGTCTTTTTTTTTTCTCTTTCGCATTTTTGTCCATTTGTGACGGCCAAGAAAGGTAGAAACCTTGATCGTGCATTGGTAAAGAGTTCAAATCCTATTTGTAATGAGGTATCGACACGAGTAATGCTAGTTGATGAAAAGCCACATAAGGCCTTTTAGGGTTCATCCGAAACACTTTTAAAATGAAAATTTTTCAACAATATACCGTGCAATCTCAAACCTTTAAATCAAAGCAATTGCGTCCAAAATATTTTAACTCGTACAGTTTTTTTTTTTTAATTATTAAGAATTATGCAATTTGTACATCACTTTCTTTACATCATGGTTGACATCATCCATGTTGTCAATTTGCACGCCAAACATAATTTTATTAGGATTATTCTTCTTGTACATAATNTCATATTTTCTTTTACATAATTCTTTATATCATGTCATGTTGCGACATAACATTGGTACATAAGGGTGTCCAAAATAGACACCCGGCACCTCCCCATTGGATGAGGTGCCGACCCCACCTGCACTTCATCCAATGGGGAGGTGTCGGATGTCCATTATGGACACCCTTATGTACACTCCGATGTACTTGTAGTACCTTCCAAAAAGAAAAATGCTACTTGTATATTAGGGGGTACATAAGGGTATCCATAATGGACACACGGTACCTCCCCATTGGATGAAGTGCCAACCCCACCTGCACTTCATCCAATGGGGAGGTGCCGAGTGTCTATTATGGACACCCTTTATGTACACTCCGATATACTTATAGTACCTCCCTTTTAAAAAACACACTTTCCTGTCAACAATTTGTTGAAAATAATGGAGAGTAAAAAATAATGTCAAACTTTAAGTGCACATTCACTATTGTTCTATTATCAAATGTGAATAATAAACTTTACTTTAATTAAATGGACGTAATGATTATACTTTGCCTCGAAATGTGTGCACTTTTTTAGGTATTGATAAAGCTGATTACTCGATCTCATAATTACACCTTAATTTTGCTTATTGATTACCATTGATGTCATTATATGAATTACATTATGAAAAAGTTTTGGGGACAGATAAGAATTTTGTGATTCTATGTAAAAGTAGGATCCACCCCATTAGATGAAAATATAACTATAATTACAACTTTTGACAAAAATAAATTTTTATTTTAAAATAATAACACAGACAAATAATTTAGTATATAGTAGGAGTTATATTTACCCTTAAAGAGTATGTGGGCCGACCTAGATTTTAATAAGGTCGGGTATCTTGTCAACAAAATTCGATGTTATCTCATGTCATATCAATTAATTGGTAAATAAGTTCATGGAAGGTCCAGAAATTAAAAGATTTATCTATATCTTATATCTAATCTCCTGACCACAATAGACATGATAAAAACTTCTCACTGCTGATGTAGAAAGATAACCTTACTTAAAGATCTCGTTAACACTAATATATTCAATAAACCCTATTTACGGTTCTCTCAGCCATATCACTAACGGAAAGTTTTTATCAAAATCTTATTTATGGTTCTCTAAGCCACATCACTAGCAAGAAGTTTTTATCTTGCCTATCAGGATTGGAGATAAATTCTATTGAGTACTTGTGGTAAATCAATCTTGTCAAGCAGCGACAAACATGACTCGATTTTCTTACATTATGAAGACTGAGTGATAGAAATTCATGGTTGTGTGAGTCTTACTCAAAGTAATTATTATATAATCACGCGTTTAAAGCTGTGGGGCTTCAGTTTTAGTGAAAGATTAATTCAGTTGCTTTAGTTAATCTTCACCTTTTCAATTTGGATTCTCTCTTTATTTTTTCTCACTTTGGCTTCTTTATCCTTCTTTCACTTAATTTAATTCATTTTCTACAATATTTTTATTATTGTTACGTCTATTCCAATGAGGCTTCAAGCTTTTACCAAGTGGTAGTCACATATGGAGCGGACCTAGTCCGCAAGCTCCACATATCATGTCTATCGTTGTTCTGGACGAACTCTTATGAAGAAGTCGAACTTATGTAACTGTTGAATCCTTACAAACGAGACGAGGCGGTAGAGGGCTCTGCAAGAGATCTTTCATGCAATCTTCAATGACTGATTGATGTGATAATTCACTACAATCGTCGCCCTACCAAGCCAAATGGGTCAAATCTAAGCCCTATTTGTCAGGTTTAGGACAACAAAATAGTATTAACATCAAATGCATATAATTGATTGATGCCTACAACAAGAGGCCTCATCCGGATGTCTCATCATCCAACGATTTCTATTCATCATTTTCTAATATAATAAAAACACACACAATGTGTCATTTAAAGTGTAATGCAAATTTAGACTTTTGAACTATAATTTTGATTTTCAATATATATACATTTCTCAAAGCCAAATCCCATACTCTAATCCCATACTGCCAACTGACTTGACTGTTAGAGTGCGCACGACTAACTCCACCACCATTGAGGAAAGCCACGTGTAGCTAACAATTTGTCCTAATGTGTAGGAATTAGCTTATGTGGATGTGGACTTTGGGATCCATTGGCCATGTTGGAGGTACAAAATTTGATGCCAACAATTACTATTCTATAAACTTAAACTTCCATCTCTTTTTTCTACATCGTCTACTATTACAATTAGGTTTAGATTTACTGATGTGTTATTCGAAACATCTCGAGATAAAACTTGCAAAACTAATGCCTAAACTAGCCAAGATTAGTTGAAACAATTTGTACAACTCGAATGAGTTAAAATATATTCACACTATAACTATATAAAGCCCTTTTGGAGTAAGTACGATCCAATATTTATCTTGATCAATCATCTTCTTATTTTTTAAGGTAAAAACATCAAATTAAATTGCTACTAATGCGAATCAACAAGCCACAATTTCCTCTCTATCAGAATTGGAAGAACCAAATGGAAGTTTGTTTAGGAAAAAGAGGTGTATCTTTAAAATCTAAAAGGGAGGTCTTTTAGAATACCTCTTAAGTATTTGTAAGTGATTATTTCTCAACCAGATACTTGAACTCTTGATGTTGAATCTGAGAAACAAAATCCCATATCAATAAAACTGTTGACCTCGAAAAATGGCT